ATAACCTGATCCTTCTGACGGACATCTCCCAGCTCCCTAGAGACACTGCCCCTTCAGAGATCAGTTTGAAACGAACTTCTCCTCCGGTCGCACGGCATCCTCCGTGCATTGCGGCTGCCTATGGGCCAGCATCATGCGTATCGCTAGAACAGGGGGATACACGAGGGGACGTGGTCCCTCTTCTCATGCGCCTTGGTGTCTCCCTGCCTCTTTAGAATCAGATTAGTAAAGTGACTTATGAATTGTTTCTTTGGGACAGACCTTGTAGCCATCTTTCTTTTTCTCCATCCCATTCAATTAAAAACAAAAAAAAAAAAGCTGAGGGCATGGCTTCACCAAGTTCTGTTTTTTTTTCTCTCCATGGGCCAGAGCATGAAAAACAAATCTGGTCATACTGAATCTTTTGACAGGGTCAACAAAATGGAGGAATGGCTTAATAAATGTTGTACACTTGAAATTAGTACCATTTTCTCAAGCCATGAAAAATAGATGAATAACTATTTCTAAACACTGATTCGAGATACATTTTATTTCAAAACTTGTTTAATTTATGCTTTCTTTTGGAATCCAATGTCAGATTGGTAGAATCTTTTCACTTTGTAAGAGAGATAATAGGGATGTATTTTTACAGCCAGGCAGCTTCCAGGGTGAACAAACCGGAAGTAGCTTCAGGCGTGACCCAAAAGGACACCTTGGAAACTTGCTCAGAAGAGCCCGGAATCTGGAAGGGGTTAGGTGCAGCTCCAGAGCTGATGATGGGCACTCTAGTCTTTGAGAACTAGGGTGGATCAAACTGGATCCGTTCCAGCCTGCTCGTTTTTGGAGGCAGTGTCCCTCCTTCCCTCCCAGAAACCTCTGGAGGGATGGATGCCCAGCCCAAACTTAGAAGCAGAGTGACCTATGACCTCCACTACTTGCCTTCAATTTTCTGTCCATTTCAAAGCACATCCTACTATCTCTTCAATACCACCCTGAAACTATCTTCTGTCCCCCTTGTCATGCGGTGTGCACTCTCTCCTCATGTCTTTGCCAGTGGTCCCATCCTTTGATCTAACCAACACTTTTTGATGCTGAAGTGTGCAGCCCAAGCTTACCTCCTGTCCACATGCATTCTGAATCCAGCCCTTCCACACAGAGTGTCCTGTCTTGGAATTCCTGTAACATCCATTCCATACGCTTGACACGCAATCATCTGCCTCTCTCTGTGGTGTCTCTTCTCCTTCTGTCTTATGGCTGAGCTGCTGCTCCGTGACCAAAACTTACACATCTGTGTGTCTCCTGTACAATCAACCAAACTCCTGGAAGACTTCGAAGAAGTGTCTAGAGTGCAGGGATTCCAGTCAGCCTATTTCCACATCTTTCTGATCAGCTGACTTCATTCTTTACGTCGTGCACGTGGGAGTCAGGTGCCAGTGCTCACAGCCAGCATGGGGACAGGATCCATGCGTGTCTGCTGGCTATGCACTCCGATAATACACTCCTTAAATCTTAACAACAAGAGCTACAATGGGCCAAACTGTCCCCCGTGTTCAGGATGAAGAATCTGAAGCTTAATGAAGTTTTAGGTTATTTCTCCAAGTCACCCAAGCAAAGGGAGTTTCAGGACTCAAACCCAGGTCAGACTTACTCCGTTACATTTCTTCTTCTTAAAAATAGTTATCCAGGGAATAAATATGTTGATGGGTAAAACACAGGGCACCAAGTTTCCTACTAATACTTTAATCCACTAAGTCTGTTTACTCAAAAGTATGGCATTGCCTGAGATGAAGGCACATGCGATAATAGCATCGAAAATTCAAGATCATTTTTACAGTCTTTGCTTTTACTTAATTGATGGCAACGCTAAAAACTGTTATTAACCTCATTTTGTAGATGAGGAAACTTACTGGTCAAATAGTCAAAGAGTGTGCCCTGTGTGACTTCTCAGTCTGAGAGCCGTCCGTGAATCCACGTGGTCTGCCGTCTCTCCCACAGACTGATGCACTTCCTCTCTCTCCGACGCCTTGCTTACCTAGAGATCACCCCCCCACCCCCGCCTCCCTGTCCACGTCCCTGAACCATTAACCAGCCATCACCTTCGATAGGTAGTTTTTCCTGAACACTTCCTCTGCAAAAAACGTGTTTTATTTATTTTTCTGTTGTCAGCGTATAGTAAGCCCAGAATAATCTCGTGGGGTTAAAAATGACCCTATAACTTTGAAGGTGTGTGGTTATTTAAAGTTCCCATTTCTCTTTGTGGCAAAATCTCTCAGCTTTCCAATTTGGATTAAGGCTGCTATTTCCCTTTAAACATTACTAACATTTTACTCAGGGATTTATTCCCTCAGTGAGACACAGTAAAAGCTGGCTTAATACCAAGGCTGATTCAGCAAGATTGCACCTGGCAAACTGAAATGATTTTGTTTTGTACATACTTCTGGGTTTTCTGCGGTGGGAAGCTAGAATAGGTCATAATATGACCTATATTATGGTCAATAGGTCAATGAGCTGGGGACAGCATGTCACACAAATTAGATTTTAACTCCTTGCTGTCTTGCATTGCCTACAATGATTCTTTTGCAAATATAGAAGCCGTACACATATTTGGGTCATATAAGTCATGTAAGACTTCTGTTTTATTTTAATTACCTCCCTGTGTAAGTTCCTCCATTTGTAGAATTAAAAGCTAAACCTGCACGTGTGTGATAATGATTTGGCTAGCTCATTATAGATGGTTGATTTTAAAATAGAAATACTGTCTTATAAATATAGAATTAAGTTCAGTAAGAGATCCTGAATGCTTTAAAATGTATTTATATAGGCATGTTCTAAATGTTTAAACCATAAAAATCACTGTCTGTCATAACTCCATAAAATGTTTCAATTATCTCTACCAGCTTTGGGCTGAGACATGAGTGGTACTTACCCTCAGTAATCCACGGTAAACTAAAATCTGCTGTGTTTCTTCAGTGTCGTAGCAATATGCAGAATTTTGTATATTTTAAAAAAGTCTTTTACTGTCAAAATAACCTGAGGTAGTAGATAGGATATCCATGTTATAGATATGGAAGTGGAGGTTAAGATTAACTGTTCAAAATCACACATCTTGTACGACATAGACCAGATATGCTGGGCTTCCAAAGCTACCCAGACTTCATGTCCTCGGTTTAGTAGAGGAGATGTCATACTGTTATGAGACAAGTAAAAATAATCTTTGTTTCTGAAATTTTTTAAGTTATTAAATGTATCTATTTACAGTCCAGGGTTTTCTTTTTAATGTGTGGGAAGACGTCGATAACATTAACAGGGATTTCATGTTGGTATTGAAAATAACAGGTCATTCTTTGCCATAGGGTGGAGAGGATTTGTATCAGCTAAATGTAAACGGAATATACCATTTCATATTTTTTGCTAAGTTATATTTTTAAAAAGCTCCCTTTATTTGATGTAACTTCCTTTGTTAAAAGTGTATGCTTTTAAACTGATCATATGTAAAATGATAAGGAATATGAAATTTAAACAATAAAGTTTGGTATGTTAATATGAAACACCAAAGTATGTAGCATGATAAAATGCCATTTATTAAAATCACCAATCGTAGAAATGAAGTCTGGGCTATGTATATTGTAACGGGTAAAATTTGAAGCCGGGAAATCATCATGCAGTTTCAGCGTTGAAAGACTCTATGAACGCTGTTGATTTCAGAGTTTTCCCTCCTCCTGAATTTCTGGAATATATTTAGGAGGGTGAGTATTAGTTCTTCTTTGAATGTTTGGTAAAATTCATCTGTGAAACAGTTTGATCCATTACATTTGTTTGTTGGGAGTTTTTAAATCACTGCTTCAATTTCACTATTTGTAATCTGTCCAGTTTCTCTGATTCTTCCTGATTTAGTTTTGGAAGATTGTATGTTTCTAGGAATTTATCCATTTTTCCAGATTGTCCAGTGTATTGATTGGCATATAGTTGTTTGTAATGAATTTTGTGGGTTTAAATATTAATTGTAAATTTTTTAGGTGTAATAGCAAACCATAAAACGCAGTCTTAAGTAAAAACCCAAGTCTGCTTCTAATTGAGGGTACGTTCTATGACAAGATATTTGCAATTATTTCAAAATATTCGAAGTCAAAAGTAGGTTTCCTTAATTCAGTGGTACATGATCCCAGGGGCACCCCTCGTGAAAATAAAATGGAGCATCAGACCTCCCACTATTGTCCTTCGACTGTGGAAGCACCTGCGCGCCCTGCCCTGCCCAGGGCTGCCCGTGCACCTGCGCGCCCTGCCCTGCCCAGGGCTGCACCTCAATGGAGTGGATGGAGCGTGTCTGCAGGATCACGGAGACACGGGCTTGATAGCTGAGCCCACGGGGTTCTACCCGTCTGTGACCTGACAGCTTCCAGAACACGCATGGACTTTTGTTTGTCTCCATAATATCAGCCGTAACCTCATCCCATGAATCCCACCAAGTACCGAGGGCAGCGCGCAGAAGGAGTGAAGTAAAGGTGGTTATTTAAAAAAAAATCAATGCCAAGCACATTGCTCCATGATCACGTTACCTCACTGCACAGGAATGTCACACCTACTGCAGGGGTGAAGAGTACACAGAGGACAAGCTCTGTCTTCAGGCTAATTCCTACTGAGAAGCTCTGTAAGCCTCGCCATATAAATAAAACTTTTGTGAGCCTTTGTAGTAGAATATCAAAAGCATACAGAGCTTTCTGTGTATATTTGACATAAGTAGGTGGAGACAGCTTCCAGAAACATCCCTGGCTCCGCCCAGTTCAGCCTCACGTGATCCAGTGGGAACTCAGGGAACTGGAAGCCATGATTATCCATTGCATAACTGTAAATGTAAATACACGTGCACACAGCCAAACGCACTCCACCCCATTCTGTTTTTAAAACAATGTAAGAACAGGTTAAAATCAGGTAACTATTTTATAAATGTGACATGCCACAGGAACAAAATATCTGCTTTCCCAAGCAGAATAAGGTGATTAAAATAATTAAATGACATAGAAATAGTAGAGAAAATGAGATGCAAAAATAACAATAAAGTTAATTATTGAGACAGTAATAGAAATCATTAAGCACACAGATAAAAAACTCAGAATGCAATTCATCATAACTTCACATAAATGCTTTGATAATCTGGGAAGACGAGAATCTCTTTATAGAGAAAAATAACACTATTTGACATTCGTGATCTACACGTGAGAGGTTGGTCAGGTAGCAATCCCGTTGGGCCGACAATAGCAGCAAGGGCGACAGTCACGAATGGAACACTGTGTAAGCTTTTCTCTTCCACTTTCACGCTTCACACACGGGCGGTCTCCTAGCCACTGTCCTCACCTAAAACAAGAGAAAGGAGAACGATCACTAATGAACTTGAGCAGCCAACGTATTAGTAATCATGGAGATGGACATGCCATTTCTTCCCTTCATGGCCTTCGTGAGTCAAAAGAAAAATTGAACTTCGCTGCAGCTACAGGGGTGTCCAAACTTTTGGCATCTCTAGGCCACGTTGGAAGAAGAAGAGCTGTCTTGGGCCACGTAATAAATTCGCAAACCCTAACGGAAACAAAAAAAGATCTCATCATGCTTTAAATAAACTTATGATTTGGGGTTGGGCCAAGTTCCTAGCCATCCTGGGCCACGTGCAGCCTGCGACACCCCTGCTGCATGTAGCTAGGGTGTACGTGCTCATGGGAACAGCCACTATCCCCGTGTAGATATTTCCCAACTGGGAATCTCACACAAACAACCCGAGGGACATCGCGGAATCTACGAATTCATCATTATATGGTGTGTAGATAAACCCAACTTTGGATTTTGGCTCTCTCTAAAACCACATGTCAGAGCAAAATAGAGTCTTCCTGGTATGTACAAAGAGACCAGTGGAACTTGTTTTTGTTTTTTAATCACAAACACAGGAGTAAAACTAAGGGAACATGGGTGCGGGCCCGGCGCATTGCTGGAAGAATGCTACCTGCATGGGAAGTCGTGTCAGGACTCGCTGGGGCTCTGCTCTTGCACAGGGCGTCTATTTTGAACCTCAACAATGGTTCTGCTTAAAACTTAAACCTTGAATGGCATTGTGCAGACTTCGAGGTATCTCTCAGTTTCATCCTGGTGCTGCGAAGTGAGATAGCAGGACGAGGATGGCAGAAATTCAGGGAGGACTTTGTCACGGCCTCCTTGTGTCTCTAAAGACTCAGAGGAGGACCCCGTGCCCGATGTGATAGCGTTAGAAGGCGGGGCCCCCAGCAGGTGATCAGGCCCCCAGGGTAGAACTCCCGAATTTGGGATGATCGCCCTTACAAGAGACCCAGCAGATGGCCTCAGGCCCTTTCACCATAAAAAGATGCAAAGAGAAGTCTGCCATTGGAAGAGGTCCCCCCACCCACCCCCCCGAGCACGCTGGCATCTGGGTCTCGGGGGTCCAGCCTCCAGAGCTGCGACAAGGAGATATTTTTGTTGTTGTTTACGAGCCACTCCGCCTGCAGTGATCGCAGTGGGACTGACCGTACTTTCAGGAACGAAAGCAGAAGGAAGGTGAGATGGGATGTCATTCCTGCTGGTGGATGCCCCCTCCACCAAGATTGAAACAAAAATCAAGGAAAAGGAAAATGATATATTTAAGTGTTACTAATGTTTATCCATTTTCATCTTTTTCTTTACTAATTCTTAGATTAAATATAAATCTATCCATATCGACACTAGATTTCTTTTAAAAATTTACACTCTAGGTAAACAGTACCTTTTGATATAAGAAATGGAAAAATGTTTCAGTATTTCTGATGTTAAAGTTATATATTTTAGACAAAGAAAATCTAACTGGCTCTGGCTGGCATAGCTCGGTGGATTGAGCATGGGCTGTGAACCAAAGTGTTGCAGGTTTGATTCCCAGTCAGGGCACATGCCTGGGTTGCAGGCCATGACCCCCAGCAACCACACATTGATGTTTCTCTCTCTCCCTCTTCCTCTCTCCCTTCCCTCCCTAAAAAATAAATAAATAAAATCTTAAAAAAATAAAACAAGAAAATCTAACTGGAAAAGGGCTCAGTAGTAACACAACTGATTCTGGTTGTGGAAGGAGGTTATAAGCGTTAACAATGAGACCCCGTGTTCTAACCGGGTATCCATAGGCTTGTTTCCTCTGGTTTGGTCCAGAAGACTCCGGCAGTGTGTGTGTGTGTGTGTGTGTGTGTGTGTGTGTGTGTTCTCTCTCTCTTTCTCTCTCTCGTGCTCTGCCTCCCTGAAAAAGAATTTCTGTAGTTTCAGTCATGACACCAACTAATTTCCTTAAAGATGGGTACTCGTCTTCTGAAGAAATTCAAGCACATTGAGCAGATTATCTAACCTGTAATAAAAAGCTGTCAGAATGTGTAACTGCGATCATATGGTTGAGGAAATAGATAAAACATATTCATGCTTTCCAGCATAGGATATAAGTATCAGGGATATTTTCTTGACTTCGTAATTTGGAACATAAACACCCTATTTCCCTTTACAGAAAAAAGAAGCATATTAAGTAAAAAAATCACTCATCCAAAAAAATTTTGCGGTGAACATTTTACTAGTCCTGCAATGAATGTTCTGCTTCTCTTGAATTATGTAACCATGTTCAGGGGATTTGAACATAATTATTTCAGTAAAAATGTGTAGGTCTCCTGAAATTGCATAATTTCCCATAAGAAAAATTAATTCAGGATTACGTAAGTGTATCATCAGTCCTCCCATCCAGTTGGCCCAGAAGCAGTGACTGATGGAATTCAGAATGCTGTCAGCCACGAAAATGAGGTGAGTGTCCAGTGCTGCTTGTCCTGGGCCACCTCCCTTCGATGACCATTTCCATAGCCCACGAGCACACAGACTGTCCAGGGCACCGAAAAGTTTGAAAAGCAGTAGAATATGTGAGCAAGAACCTGAGCACAGAGCAAGAAGATGAGAGGGAAGAAATAAACTATACAGGAGGTAAGAGAGGTTGAATACCATCTGTGCCCTTGAGGCTGGGCCTTCCACGAAGCCAGGTGATTCACAGAGGAAAACAAAACTGGCCGTCAGACTAGGGTTGTCTGAGTGAGCAGTCTGCATTTACCAGATTATTCATGTGAATGGAAGTTTCACTATTTCCGAACGAAGATCCTTAGACGGGAGTTTTAGAAGCCCTTTGGAATAGTTCGGAGCTCTTGGGCTGTCCTGGTCCAACTAGAGTTCTCAGCCATGACAGTCTACTTATTATTACAAACAATCTCACCCATCCAGTAGCTCCAACCACCCCAGTACTGTTTACGCAGGGTCCTGACACTCCAGTTGGCCTATGTGTGTCTGTCGGTCTAACTTGTCCCCAGGCAGAGCACAGTGGCTGCGTCAGGGTACGTGCTGAGTGTAAACCTGCTTATTTAGTGAATGCCGCACGTGAGAACTAAGGTTGATGCCCTCCTAGTGGTGGAAAGTAAGATGCCTTTTTTTGTGAGACTCTGTTGATAACCCATGCCACAAATTATTAGCTTCTTTACCCTCCGATTCAGAGTTTCTATTTTTCAGGAGTGTCTCTTACATTAAGAATGAGAAATAAGAAGATAAACTTGTATGCAGAGATGTTTATTGTAATAATATTTACAATATTTAAATATTTGAAAGCACAAAAATGTTTAACAATGGGGAATAGCTTCAAATAGTAGTATATTCATACCTTAGAATATTATGAAGTCATTAAAATGGTATTTTAAGAATGTTTTAAATAGCAAAATACCCAGTATATAATTTGAGTGGAAAAGCAGGCTCAAATCTGCCTAGACATCATGCTTGTGGTTATAAATATAGTCATAGTCATGTATTTAGCATGTAGGTCTCTGCCTTGGCCACTGTGGCTGAACGGATTGAGTGCTCGCCTGTGAACAAAGGGTTGCAGATTCGATTCCCACTCAGGGCACATGTCTGGGTTGCGGGCCGGGTCCTCAGCAGGGAATGTGCAAGAAGCAACCACACATTGATGTTTCTCTCCCTCTCTTTCTCCCACCTTTGCCCTCTCTCTAAAAATAAAAATAAAATCAGAAAAAAATATAGGTGTCTATTTTGCATATGTATGAGACCGTGCGAGTGTGTCTGTGTGTCCAGAGAAAGGTTGTACAGAGCAGACGTGGTGAGTGTGGACCCTGGAGTCAGGCTGCCTAAATGTGAACTCCACATACGCATGTCGCTGCATAATGAACCAATTACCTAACCTCTCCTTTCTTCAGTTCCTCCCTTTGTGCAAGGGGAAAGGTATATATCAGGTTGATCTGGGATTAGATGAGTGCATATCTACTTAGAAAAAAATTGAAGTGCATAACAGAGTAAACATTACTCGTTTCTTAGCTATTATGACCATCAAAATACAAACGCACATTGTGCGCACATAAAATGACCCATGCACACACACTCATGTTCACAAAACCATAAAACTGAGCAAAATGCTATCAGTGTTTCTGACTTTTAGATAACTTCTGTGTTTTATTTTACATGTTCTCCCATTTCCCCAGTTGTTCTGGAATGAGCAAATAGTGTTTTTATAATGAGAACTGAAAACTTTATGCAGAGTAGTTAAGAACAGATGGATTGAGTTACACACATATGCTTAACATACAATGCTGTGTTAAAAGACGATGCTGCTAAAACTACTGCTCAGGACACAGTGCGCACGAGAGGAGTGGTTATTCAGTTAATGCCAGTGGTAGCTGAGGAACTGGACAGTAATGAGTAACTAAAGAATATTCAATCCAAGAGATTTGCAAGAAGGCAAGTTAAAGAAGAAATTAGGGTTTTAAGAGAAGGCAGTATCAGTTTAGCTAAGCTTGGATTTTACAATTCTTTCTAGGACTTAACTGTATTTGGTAGACAGCATTGAAAACTCCTGTGGAAAGTTAGAAAATCTATGGAAAGATAAAAAGATAAATGAATTTGATGGCAAAATCCAGGTTCCAGATAAGATGGGGAACACCATATGAGAGCAAAACAGAAAAACTTTGTTTTAAAGAGGAAAGTCTTCTATGGGATCCTGAGTGTGGAGGGCAGTGCTGGATATAGGTGTCCAGAATTTGTATGAAAAAAAACTAAGAAAGTACCAAGGCAAGGGTGGTGACCCACGATATTTGATGAGTTTTGATTGGAAATTCCAAATTGATAAATGCAGTTCTAGGTTCCTAGTTCGAATCAGAGGTGAGGATTAATATTTTAAAATTTTTCTGTTCTTTTTATGTAACAATCCTATGACTTCTCCTCAATTGCAGTAGTGAAATAAATTAATACATTTTTTTCTGATAGAGAAGCTTTCTTGATCTTGAGAATACACACCATATAGCCTTGAG